TTGGGAAGAGGGATTGGTGTAGTCTGTGGCAATCAGTTCGACGAATGACGTTTCATCGACGGTTAGTTTCATCGCAAGGTTCCCGCGACCGTTTCATAAATTCCTGTTTATTTTTTTTTCTTCCATATTTTTCAAGGAGAGAGGTTAGAGAATTTCAGAAAGTTTTGTGGTGCTCAAGACAAAGTCAGTCGCCTGACAGAGGCACCAAGGCCAGAACACAGACCTTGCGACGTTTCGTCGAAAGCGTCTTTCCGTGCCCTTAGCGGTCCCGACGAGGCCTGATGCAAGCTTGAGGTCAAGGCTCTTTTAAAGTTTCCGCGAGCGGAGCGAGGGGTGCCCGCGCGTAGCGCAGACCGTTTGGAAGCCTAGAATTAGGGCGCGCGAATTTGTTTTTGCCCTGTCGGAGCCCTCTGGCCGAGTCCGCTTTTGTTCCGGTACGCATTCAGTAATCCGATCCCATCCACTTAGTAGAAACAGCGAAATAAATACGCTGTCGACGAGACAGGCTTTTGCGCAACATCGCAGTGTCTACGAAACGCGTGTCCATGAAACGTATGTCCACGAAACATGTTTCGAGAAAACAATAACCCCCCCCCCCCCCCCCCCCCCTAAAAAAATGTTTTTGTTAGTGTTTTTTGAAACAAAAATTGAGCCAGTCTTCTAAAGAAAGGTTGTTTTTTTTTTTTTTTAAATGAGGCCCAAGTAGGTTAGAAAAAAAAAATATACCTGACTTTTGCAGCGGTGGTGCAGGATGATGTATGGTTTCATTTAGACCTCCGTGGCTCATGCAGCATCCCTGAGACCCCGAGATATTATTTTGATAGGATACTTAATTGACGAGCAAAATCAACGTGCTTGCAACCTTATCGATCGCTGGGGCAATCGCCGGCAAAACGAGTGCTCCTCAGATGTCGAGTATGCTTTTATAGGGGGGGGGGGGGGGGGGGGGGGTAGTGAGCAGATCAGCATTTCTGCTTGTTAACCGTGTGGGGATGTAGGGTGTCCAGCCGCAAGGAATAGAATATCTTTAGAGCGCCGCTTGGATCCCCAGCATCTTTCTTCCAGGACGGAACGCTCTTGGCCTGTTGGCTCTGGGACAAACTGGCTTACACCCTTAAGGGAGTTTTTCTTTGTTTAGTGTGTACCGCCTTTTTCGGGGTTAAAATGTCTCGGAAGTTCGTCGTTTCACCGGTTCCCGTACGGTGAGCCAAACAGTATGGATAGCGAGCTGTGTCAATAATTCTGCCTTATTTTGTAAATATGGGGCTCCTGAGCTTCGTTGCGTCGCGAACCTAAGGAAACAGAAAGCACAAGAAACCACCCAAGGAGAGCGCTAGGTCGGGGCGTGGCTGTGCAGCTGTTTGCTTTTTTTTTTTTTTTTTTTTGCATTTTATAGGAACGATGTCTCAGCCAGTTACGGTCGTTTCAGCGAACGTCGTAGAAATCGAATCATCGGAACGAAATCGACGAGCTGGTATCAGACTGTCGCTGGTGTCAGGAGACCGGGAGAGGGGTGGGGGACTCCTCTGCACTCTAAACAAAGTATGTGCTTCTACTTTCACGTACAACACTCGGAGAACTAATCACCGCAACTTACGGAGGCAGCTCAGAGAATGACGATGCCGAAAGATATGTTTAGATTAAAAATGCAGCCCGAGTTGCGACAGTAAGCAATGCAAAACGTCACGCTTGCATTGCTTAATGTCACAACCCAGTCCGCGTTTTTTTGGTCTAAACATATGTTTCGGCATCGTCATTCGCTGAGCTGCCTCCGTAAGTTGCGCTGATTGATTCTCTGAGTGTTGTGCGTGAAAGTAGACGCACGGACTTTTTTTAGAATGTGGCGGCCAGATAGTTTTATTTTTTCGAGACCTCCCAACGCCAAGGTTTCTTTAAAAGTGATTAGATAAAAAGAACGCTCATCACTCTTCCCTACACCAGTTCTTCCCAAACTGCCCTGCAAAAAGAGAAAAAGGAGAAAAAAGTGGGTTGCAGTTTTTGTGTGGCGAAGTCTTTTCGAATCGTCGCAGCGTCGCTTCTTCTCACTTGCCTTTTCCCTTTTCTTTTGTTGTTGGCGATAGCTTTTCTGCAGCTGGCCAACCCCATTACCTTCCACTGTGCCACACCATGCGAGCGGAAACTGACTTTCGCTAGCGACGCTCGCAAAAGCTCGTTTCCGTAAAAGATGCCATCCTAAAAAAAGAAAAAAAACAGAGCGAGAAAAAAAGGCTCCGATTTCAGGTCGCATACCGATACACCTCCATTAACAGCAACGCGTTCCAGAACCGCGTCGCCGTTCCATTTAGCGAACACGGAGTACGAAGGTCCCCCCTGGACGGACGCCATGTTTTTGGAAGGGACCGTGAAACCGCCGGTCCGAGTCGGTTCTCACGCCGCGCGCGTGCTGGCGTTTCGAATGGGCCTTTCCCCCTTCCTGGAGGGCTTCGCTGAGCCGTCTTCCACGCTCCGCACACACAGCGCCGTCAGAGCTTGGTCCGAGGGAGGTCAAAGTTGAGGCAGGTGCATCGGGGAGGTGCCTTCGCCAGGACACACCGCACGGCACCTGACGCCGCGTCTTTTGAATTCGTCGTGGTTTTGATGGTTCTTTAAAGTTTGCTTTCTGTCCTCTTCGCTGCGTATGTATACACGCTCCATGGCAGCGAGGTCAGGTGACGAATGGGAGGCGGCTGATAGGCCCGGCGAGCACGTAGCTGCCACCGCACTGTCAGCTTACATAGGAGTGCGTGGCGTTCGTGTGTCGTATATCTTTGGCCGGCGTCGGCTGGAAGTGATTGACCCGGATCGTGTACGATGCGTCGCGGCTTTGATGTCTCCATTTCTTGGGGGTCTTTAAAGTCGTATAAAAAGGGCTCAAAGAAGGAAAGTGGGTAAGACGGAGGTCGATGTGGGTGACCTTCTTTAGTGCGCGGTTATTTTGGATCGGGTTTCTTAGCGGAGAATCTGGTATGGATGACCTGTGTGACCTGGCAAGGAGATTCTAGAGAGGCCGGGGAAAAACCATCGCGGTAAAAAAGCAAAATTTATTAATGAAGACCGGAGAAATTGGTGCCGAGTTTGGAATGGTGGTTCAAGAACCGGCCCGTGCCGAAACGAAACTCGTGTTTTACTGGCAAAGAAAGACAAAGTTAGGTACACTCTCGTAAGCGTAAAAATAGCTTCGTATACTTACTATTAATAAAGCCTGGATACGTGCTCAAAGCAGTCGGTGAACCGCGGTTTTTCTTGTTTCCTTTAGTTGTAAACGTTTGAATTGCACCCTCATCATTTCCTTTCCCCGATTATGCCTACAGGCAGATAAGTACCTTTAGACTTTTTTTAAGCAAATATACCATGAAATATATATCTTAGAATTATACTTCAAGTTAGATCTCAAATGTAAAAAAAAAAAAAAAAGACGTCTAACCTCTTTAAAATACAGGGTGCTTTTTGTTTGTTTGTTATGGAATACAAAATCTCAAAAAAAAAAGAGAAAACAACCAGCGAAAGGTACACAGATGCGGTCTGTGCGAGTTATACTACCAGGCGGTCATTGTGTTCAAGAGAAAATGCAACTAAAAGATGGGTAATTAACAAAAATTAACTATTAGACGTTTTAGAACAAAAGTGACAATTAATGTTAAAAGCCAACCCATTCTTTTTTTCCCAAGTCCCGGTTTGATTACGCAGATTGAGTTATTCATTGTCCCATTTTGTTCTGGAAATCGGTCGATACCGAAATTAAACGCGCGATGCCCGCCGGAAGGACAACCCTCGTTTGACGCCGCGAAGGGCCACGTGCTGCTAAGGACGAAATTTGCGTCACAGTGCGCCGGAGCTGGTTCCAGTCGGTGCTCCGCGGCTGGCCGCCGTGACAGCTTGCTTTGCTTTGCCGGGCGATATCTCCGAAGGACAAGTAACCCTCCGACGTCAAACGGGGGTTGTCCTTCCGGTGGGCATCGCGCGTTTGGTTTCGCTATCGACGGATTTCCAGAACAAAATTTGACAACAAATAATACCAACTGCGTGATCAAAAAAAAAAAATCAATTAATATATTTTTTTTAGCTGGTTTTGGCGTTGGTGCTACTGCCATTGGCAATACTAACTTGTCGCACGGCAAAAGTTGCGCACATCTGAGGCTTCTATAAACGTCGATACCTTAAAAATGAACTGCAGTGCGAGGTGCAGTGGTAAAGAATGTAACAGGGAAGTTTCAACTGCCCCTCTTCCAATTTTATGCAACCTCTACGGCCCATAGCTTTAACTGTTACAAAAACACAACCTCTCCTTCCTCTTTAAACTCAAATATATGGCCCAAACTGGAAAGCAATTCAGAGGCTTTTGTCGTGACCCGAAATTACAATAACATGTCGTCCTGAACCTTGACGAGATAAGTGCTAAGACCCCTTTTGTCAATGATCCGAGATTTGAAAGATAACTGTGGTGGCATTTCCCCGGGACCATTGACCCTGTGCGCTGATTAAACTTAATTGTAAAATACCGTCTTTATTTTGTTTATTTGGGGGGGGGGGGGGGGGGGGGGTCATTGGCACATCAAAATTTGTAGTTTATCGGATAAATCCGAATTCCCAAAATGTTATCGACAAGTGTTTTACGGTTTAAGAAAAAAAGATACTACTTTGCATATTTGGTGTCCTTTCCTAAAAGGTTATACACTAAAAGTATACCAATTTTGTACTTGTATAAAAAAAGCTTCCAAAAGCATACTTAAACCATTGCCAGACTAGGTAGACTGGAGGATTACAGCGTTAAAATGCCAAGTACACTAAAGGTATATTAAAATTAGGCTTCACATTAAAAAAATACTAATATAAACTTTAACTGCCCTCCTGTGTTTCACAGTAGTACAAAATCAGTTTACTTTTAGTGTATCCCATTTACCAAAGGGCGTGTTAATATAATTGAAAGCAATGGCCATCAGCACGTTGGAGAGAAATATTTCTCAGCACACATTTACGAGTCTACTTTCTGTTGCTCGCAGCTCCCGTTCGCGGTGGTGGGCACGCTCAACGGCGTCCACCTGTTCTCTCGATTGCGAGGTGCCACCCTGCACAGCACGGTCACCAGGGGTGCCAAGGTGGTGTGGAGGACATACCACGACAGGTACTGGTGTTTGTCATTCACTCCCTTTGTACTCCTGTTGGATGCAGGGGTTGAGGGTTCCGAGAGAAGAATCAATATACTCGTTGGCTTTCTTTAATTACACCATACTTTATTCATGTTCAATGTGCGGGTAGTGTTTTCAGGAGAGGAACCATCGATATCAGGGTTGGTTTACGTTATTGCGACGCAATTTCCTTCCCTTTTGCTCCTGTTGGAGGTGGGGAAGTGTTTCAAAGTGGGGGATTATCTATATGCGTAGGGTGGCTCACCTCATTGTACCATCATTCACTCCCTTTTTACTACAGCTAAGTGTGACCTAGTGGTTCCAACAAGGAACTTAGATATACGAGGTGTGAACAAAAGTTCTGAGACTGATTTTGTAGCGTAACAAGAAAGGGCAGCGCAGTGATGCGCGCGCAGCGGTCAAAGGAACGGACCTTCGTGCCTCGTTATACCAAAGGGCGTCTCCCTGTGGACATTTGATGCTGCGCTACGCAAGTTTTCGTGACCACGTGCACGGGCACCATGACGATTTCACCATAGACTGTAAATCCGAGTAAGAGCGAACATCAATTCTGCGTCACTCTGAGCACATATAAAACAAAGATTTTTCAAATGATTCAGCAGGCTTGTGTCAAAAGGCAGTGAATTTTGCTAGTGTTTTAAGTGGCAATCGTGCTTCAGGAACGGAAGGACATCGCTGGAAGACGAAGAGCGGTAGGGCGACCTTATCCGACCTCTCCTTAATTTCAGTGATACTCTGCCATTCTTGAGGCACGAATGCCACTCAAAACACCTCGCACACCTCACTGCTTTTTGACATCTTCTAAATTTCAGAGGTCTCTGTTTTAGGTTTCTAGAGTTTGACGTAAAACTGATGTTCGCTCTCGCTCATGGTTTGCAGTCTATGGAGTGATCGCCATCATGCTCGTGCATGCGGTCAAACTCTTGTAGCGTAGTTCCAAATGTTCACAGAGCGATGCCCTTTGCAGTGGTGGAACTGCTGCGCCAATTGTGCCAAACTGCGCCAGAACGAATAACCTGTTAGATGCTGCTCCAAAGGCTGTACTTGTACACAATTTGCGCCTTGTCTGCGCCTGAAAGGAGCTGTTCCCGAGAAGGAAATTCACGTGACATTGTTGGCGACGCCTCTGAAAACTAAGAAAGTACAGTTTTTTTTTTATGCCTAAGTAATATGTGCGAACAGTAGGGCTGCGCGAATATTCTAATTTTCTAATAGTAGTTTTAAATAATACATTATTTGATATTCGCTTCCAAATGAACTGCGATATTAATATTTTTCGAAGAGTTGATCGCTGCGGGTTAGCCCCCTTGAGTGCGCTTCTCCTTATGCACGGATGCACCGTGGAGAAGCAACACCCGTGGAGCGGACACAGCGATCTCGCGACTCACTTCGCCGCAGCGCAGCCTCGCACCTATATGAAACACACACCTTCAAACTAGTATGGCGCACGCGCGCGCCTAATGTATTTAAAAAAAGAGAAACGAAAAACTGGAAATTTCGTGATTGTTGATATTACATTGCAGTAAAATCTTCAAAATTTAACTGTGGCTGTTATGCAATGATGTATGTTAGGCAGCGATGTTCTAGGTACCTGTGTTGTGTTCATCATTTGTGTGCTTGTTTCTTTTTTTAAATTCAAATCGAAAAAAAAAAATATTTTCGTATAGGAAGAAGATTTATAAATCCTCTCAATTAGGTATGGCTGGGCTTCTTTCTAAATTTAGTTTTATGTCAAATCTGTCATTTACTTGAAATTCCAGTGTGGGTACTGGACCTTCTGAGGCTACAGTCTATAAATATAGCTAGATTAAATTTAACAGAGCTCATCAATGGGCACTTAGGAACAGACATCGTGAGTCCAACTGAAGTTTCGTTTCAGCATTGTGTAACCGTAGTAAAAGGTGTGGAGAAAGGCACGAAAACTCTTCAATATTTAATAAAAAAATATTTGGCCAAAACCACTATTCACTTAAATTTCCTTCAAACCCAAAATGCATTATTTGCACATGCGTAACGAAGAGTTATCGTTTTTTGTGCAAATGGTGCTCTCATCGATCGCAGTGAATAGCTAGTACTAGTCGTGATCGGTTAGAGTGGCTATGTGCTCCGCTCAGATGCTCTGTCAACAGCAGCAGGTTGAACACGAGCGAGGACAGTGTGAGTCACATTCAACAGAAAAGTGTCCGTTTGATGTCCAACTCGTGGCAGTTACGTCACCGTGATACAAACCCTCTACAAAATAGCCAAAAACATATTTTTACGTCAAACACAGACTTCAAACGCCATCGGTACTCCTAATAGGTTAATTGAGACATCTACAAAATTGCCGGCGTATGATTGTTCAATAAATAAATAAATATCTGTACAGGCGAGGTCTTCTGTAGGCATAACGCTTGAGTCTCCCAATGCTCCAACAACTGCAGTTTTTTCTACGGGCTAACTTTCGAAGAGAATGTATAAAACTTTCTGACATGAAAGCTCAAAATTGTCTGCTTTCAAACAGAGGAATCTTTGCCCCAAAATCCGTTTTTCCCTGCTACAAGAGCTGCTCCAAATCACCACTTGTCAGTTCCACCACTGCCTTTGGCTTAATGACACGGGAAGGTCCCATGCCTTCGACTGCTGCGCACGCATCACTGTGCTGCCCTCTCATTTTACGCTACAAAATCAGTCTCGGAACTTTTTGATCACACCTCGTACAAAGTTGTTCACTTTATTGCACCATTTACTCGCTTTTTACTCCTGTTGTATGCAGGGTTGCGTGTAGGATGTTTTTTAATGCATCGGCATTAGAACGCTTGTTTTGACGAAAACCCGGTGGTGTCTTTCGTTTGTCATTGTTGGGGAGAGGGTGAGGGTCACATGTGTGGCACTTCCATTGGTCCTAAGCGCTGACGTCAGCACGCGTCACCCTTTCCCTCTCTCCCCGGCACTGACAAACTGACAGACACCTCCGGGTTTTCGTCAAAACGAGCGGTTTTGTTTTGTTCAAAGGGGCATGCACAGCTGGTGCGTTGCCAAATAGGAGGAGACACCGCGGCACGGCAAAATACGTGCGTACTCGATTGCCGCTCTGCTGTCGCCAATTGTTCTCCGCTCCGGGTTTCCGTAGTAGCAGTGCATGGGCTGTGATGGGTGTGTGTGTTTTTAAAATGATGGATGCGGTTCCCTCCACGAGTGATATGACGTCGAGAGTATGTCGACACCACATCAAGGCGTCGACATACTCTGACAGGCAGAGTAAAGAAAAGGGGTGAAAAAAATTACAGGAAGATCCATTGGTGGATTCTTAGGGAATGCCTTAGCATAACCCTTAGGAAACACCACATGGGAAAGGCTAACATTATGGAAAGTGCTAACGTTGTCCCCGTAACAAGGCCAAAAAGAGGCAAAAATAAATAAATAGAAGTAGCAAAAGAGAAAGCCAAAAGAGAAAAGCGAAGGGGTCAGCGGTAGCGTTTCCCAAAGAGGGACGTGTCTGCTGTTTCCCAAGGGTCATGCTAAAGCATTCCCTAAGAATCCACCAAGGGATCTTCTTGTAATTTTTTTATCCTGCCACCGCTTACTTTCTTTTCGCTCCTGTTGAGTGTGGGATAGTGTTCCTAAGAGAAGGAGCCATCGATATGCAGAGGGCTTCACTTTATCGTGTTGACATTTGCTCCTTCTTACCCCAGTTTGACGCTGATCGGAAGGAGGGGGGAGGGAGGGAGGGGAGTGGAGGGGTTCAAATGTGCAGGCTGATGCGCTTTATTGTACAATCAATTTATGAATTGCATGCAAATCGGTTTTACTCCACAAGTAGAAATATTCTACAGTGACACAGTAGAGGATGTGTGTAGTAATTTAGCCCCGTAGCCTGTTGCCTGCTAAGCCTATTTCTCGCAAAAGTAAAAACATAGCATCCTTTATAGGGTGACCATAATCGGCAGCATAAGAAACGGGACATCAGGGTGGGGGAGCAAAGCTGGGAGCTGAGTCATAAGAAAAAGCAAGCTCTGCTGCTATTCAGTTCACTACACAAATGCACATTACCTACAGATGCACCTTTCTTTTTCATTATTACACAAAATCGAAGCATGCCCAATATAGTAATATGGAAAAGTGCCCCAAACAAATGTCTGTGTCAACAGAAGGTAATGGCAGATAGAACCACAGAAAGAGGTCTAAATTTGCTCTATGGGAGGTAACAGTTTTATAGTATTTTTTTTTTAAATAAAATGTATTATGTCTTTTCGATTTCTTTTATTTGCTTAGCACTCATTTTGCAACTATGCATGGACATTCCCACCGAAACGGGATGCAAGGCTTCGTTGTATGACAAAGTGACAGGACGACAGAAATGCACCTCTTCTACGGGGCTGTCCCTACCAAAACGGCACGTCTGGTCACCCTAATCCTTGGGCAACCTTTACTTTGACAAAACCCTGAAACATTGGGAACGCTATTTGCCTTCTCGTTCCTCAATCACTGAATTGCTTAGCAAAAACAAAAACAAGAAAAACAACCTATATACGGAAGCTTTTTGAATCATTTTTTTATTGTGACAGAAAGGAAACAGCCGAGCTCGCGTTACCTCTCACAGTGTGGTGTTACTGGTGGTAACGTGCGACGACGGCGCGAGCGACGACCACCTCGGCTTCCTCTTGGACAACGTGTTTGGCGCCATGGTGATGTCCGTGGGGTTGGACGCAGTGCAGGCGATACGCAACGTCGACAGGCTCAAGCGGGACCTCAGGGTGAGCGTGACGAACAACACCATCTGCTGTTGTCAAGATTCAGATCATGCAAGCAGAAACGTCTAACAAAAAGTCGAAGAAAAAAGTTGAACAAAAAGCCGCAAAAGCTAAACTACTGTAATATCCTGAGAGATAGCCCACATAAAAGCGAGAGCAAATAGAGTGAAACTAACTAGTAGACTAACTTTTAATGTGCAATCAAGAAAAATGTAAAAAAAATTGCTATTTTTGTATTTTATGATTTGCCAAACTTGTTTTCACATTGAGAAGCAATATTTCACATTGAGAAGCGAGAGATAAGCAATATTTGCTTATCTCTCACCATAGCTATCTAACACCATTTTGGCCGAGGGTGCACCATGGTCAGGGCACTGCAATTACTAAAAGTAGGCCATCTTTCAATGTTTTTGAAAAATGGCAAATCATATAACAAACGGGTGGGATATTACGGTAGTGCGGTTTGTGCACGCGAATTATACAGCCAGGGGAACATAACATAGGGGGCTAATTGTCATGATAAGTAGGCTAATTAACTAAGATTTGTTCATTAACTTTTTAGTTTGTAAAAATAAACGTACGGTTCCAGTTGGAGAGTCGCCGAACATCTTTGAAAACCACCGAAGCAGTAAATTCTAGAAAAACTCTGAGCGCATGGGAAGTGCGGCGGCGCACTAAAGTTACCGTTCGTGCAATGGGGGCTTGAGGCTGGCAGTGTGAAAACGTGGTTGATGAGTGCCCGGTCGCGTCGCCATCTGCGTTTGGTTGTGGCATTAAAGGTGCACCAAAGAGGTTGGTTTCAGAGATCGTATGTTCTTGGTGTTAACTCATTGTATGGGATCTTAGCATCCCAGAAACCGAAAAATTATGACCGTGCGGCGTTTATTTCCCTACTAAAAATGTGATGGAAGTTTCTGCCACGCCCCTTTCCGAGCGAAAAAAATCTGGAGCACAGAATTCAGCGGAGGCGCTGGCGGCGTGACGACGGGCGCGCGTCAGCCAATCGCAAGCAGAGGCGCCTCTGCTGGATTCTGTGTTTCAGATTTTTCCACTCAGAAAGGGGCGTGGCAGAAACTTCCATCACCTTTTTAGTAGACAAATAGACATCGCACGAGCATAATTGTTGGATTTCTAGGATGCTTGAAGCCCGTAAGATAAGTTATCACCAAGAACAGACAACCTAAGTCCTTTGAAGAATCTATGTTTGAAAACAATATGAGAGGTTTGTCAAGCTCAATCGTTTTACGAATGACTAAAAAAGTGCGACGCGTGGTTGTTGCGGGAAGATTCGGTCCCGTTACCGCCACCCTTTACGTCGTTAATGCGAAACTAGTAGCAATACGCAAACCGTGGAATCCAAAGTGGCGGGTACTGAAACCTGGGGTTTTCTGCCCGCGACCTCGCAGGGCTGCTACCCCTTGGTGGACCACTTGCTGAGCCAACTGGACCAGGACTCCTGCACGCTCGGGGACCTGACCGGGGTCGCCGACTTCCTGCTCTGTCCGGAAAGCCAGGCACTCCAGGTACATGTCCCAACCATAGAGCCCGGAACACGTGACGTCGTCGTAGAAGCGTCACGCCATTGCCCACCACGTTGCTTACCACGGCGGCAGAGGTTCTGAAGCAGGTTGCTCTCCGGCACGATGGCCCACGGAAGCTTCGACATCGTGGAGTCGGGATGCTGCGCTGACGGCGACGTTCGCATTCTCTCATGGTTTTTGCCGAAAGTTAAGACCAGCTGCCGGGATCACTTAGTTCGACAGTGTGATGGTGTGGCTTCCGTGGCGTCGTTTGTTGCCGCTTCGGGACGACGCGCGATGTGTGGGCGGAATGGGATGCTAAATGCACCGGTCGGAGACGCTTTCTAGGTGTCGTAGTCGGAACACACTCCTCCTTTGTTTCTTGTTTTGCGGGCAGGCTCGTTTTCTTCATTTTATGCGAGCGTTGCATGTTGCACACAGGATTCTGGTGCGAAGGCACAACCGTTAAGTGAGGTCGAGACTGAGCAGTCTCCCGGAAGAAATGCTCAGAATATATCTACAAAGCTAATTATCGAGGGAATGGTGGAATGATCTTATCGGTTCAGCTAACTGTGCCGAGACGCACGTTTCTCGGGCAGTGCGGTCGGAGCTGAGCGTGCGCATTATTTGCCATCTTCGAATGCTGCAGGAAGTTGTCCCCAAGAATGGTGCCTGGCACAAACACTTTGTATTCGTCGAGCAGAAAAAAAGCATTAGGTTTTGTTTTCATGCTCGTTTTGCTTTGGCAAAAAATGTATTCCAGAGAGCCAGATTTCTTTTCTTCTTCTCGAATGGCTCCCTCGGTCACCTCCCTTATTGAAGCTCGCGAGAGAAGAGCGACCATAATTAGTTACAGTTTCGTCGTTGTAACTGCAATTACAGTTCAAGTAACTGTAGTTAGTCAGTCTCATCAGCCATAACTAATTACGGCTCAAGTAACCGTAAATGGTTACTGTTATTTGAGCCATATTTACAGCTACAGATGAAATAACTGTAGTAATCCTCTGTGGTATCTCAGCTGTAATTAGTTACGGATTATGCGACCCTAACTTATTTATGTTTTAAGGAAAGCGCTTATGAGAGCCCATTGCCACCCCCTTGCGCGCGTCCTTGCAGCCGTACCTGGAGTCGTTTGTGGAGGAAGTGGACAGCCTGTACGGCTGTCTGCTGGTGAGGGGCAAGGTGGCCGTGGCCACCAAGCACTGGCTCAGGCTCAGCCCCCAGGAGACCGTCCTGCTGGCAATGGCCGCCCACGCAGGGACCAAGTGCATTTCCAGAGACCTGCCGGTCTACCTGCCCAACAGCTGCCCGTCGGTGAGTCCTTCTTGTTCCATTCAGTATCGTTTGAGGAGCTGGTCTTTGCATTTATATAATAGAGCAGTGCAGAGGTCTAGAGACTTTGTAAACAATAGGGCACATGTTTGTAATTCAATTAAAAAAACACCAAAAAGAAAAAAAAAGCTTTTTAGCAATTTGGAAAAATTACAATTATGGTATTACAAAATAAATTTTAAGCAAAATGGATTTTTTTTTGTAAAAAATTACAGAACATTTAAAACTGCTTACGTGAAGGAATGCGATAGCATTCGTACACGCAATGTGCCCCGCTGTCCTCTCCAGAGGCCAGCTGCCGGACCAGCCTCTGCGGTGACCGCAAGTGTGCCACCCTTTCCCTTTTACTGGCGTGCGGGCCGCAGTGCCAGGAAGAGGGCTTTTCTGTGGGGTGGCATTCCTTGGAACTATGACATGTCGCAGCCAATGAAGATTTATTGCTCATTTCGCTCAGCCGGAATTTAGGTGCCGTTTTTCGTGGTTACAGACAATGCTGGCTTACACTCCATGGGACAGTTAATGCTTTCGCATTAATATATTTACAGCGCTAGATTTGTTTTTGTTTACAGCTTCCAAACGCGCACACCAACAATGGGGACATAACGCCACCACATGTACACGCCAAGGACAGCGTTCTCGTTGGCCGCCTCTCCTCCCCTTACCTGTCTTCAGCGTGCCTCAGTGCCTTTTTGTGCTCCTTTCCTGCGCATGATTTTGCTATGCGGAGGAGGGGTAAGGAGAGGATGAGAACACTGCCCTTGGCATGTGCATGTGGTGACGTGGTGGTGACGTTATATAGCCATTTTTGGTGCGCGTTTGAAAGGTGTACACTAAAACAATCTAGCGCTGTAAATAATTTTACAAAAAAAATCTCTTTCATGCAAATTATATTTCGTAGTAATATTTGTAATCTTTCCAGGCTGTTTAAAAACATTTTTTTTTTCTTTTTAGTGTATTTTTAAGCATCAATGGATGGCTCAGATCTGCAAAAATAGTGCTTAAACTGGAAGAACACTTTACTTAGGGGCAAGAACAGTTCAGAAAATTTGGGGGCTCGGTGAACCCACAGTGAAACTCTGAGGAACCAGTTTGAGAACTCGTGCTCCAAGGGAACAGCAGCGAAACAATAATGAAACCACATTTTCTCTGAACTCGTCAATATACTCGACATCAACTATTTTGCGCTACTTTGTCGAGGCTAGCGTAGCTTCCACAGTGCTTCATTGCTGACAAAACTAGAGTCCCTGGATGTTTCCGAGTACCAAAACTTTTAAACACAATAACAACTTAATCTTTTTTTTTTTTTTTTACAGTGGTTATTATGACAGCCTTTGTGAACGACGGTGACCGACTTTTTATGGGCAAAAGTTCTAGAAGTATTTCTCGTCAATATCAGCAATTAGAAAGCATGTTTTTGCGTAAAAACAAATGAAAAAAACTCTTTTTGCAGGCACTCTTATTGGAGATTAGTGCAGAATGACAGGAGCATGATGTTGTCATAAATTTTTAGTTCACAAGGTTTTTGGGCACACTATTGTTTTTATACAACCATGTCTCACCGGTGATTTCTGGTAGCACGTCCCTACCTGGGCGCGTCCTAACTTGGTGATAATTTGCGGCACTTCCGCTTGGGAGATAGGGGTTGGCACCCCTGAAACCCCTTCCATCGTAGTATATGTTTTGGCGCCAAAATGGCTGATCAAAGCTAAAATAGAACAGTCACAGCGGACGCTATCGAATGCGATACTCTGGCAACAACCAGTGACTCTAGTCAAAACCACTTGCACGAGTGTGTGCGAACGAAACGCAAAAGGAAGCTACGTGCCCTCGCAGTAGTGAGGCGCAGCGGCGCCGGAAGCTAGGCTAGCTTCGACAACATAACACAAAATAGTTGACGCCGAGCATAGTGACCTGTTGGACTAATCTGGATAAGAGTGCCCATGAAGGATGGTCTTGAGAACAGACTGTTATTCCCGTTCTATTCGTTGTCTTACGAGGGAAGAACTCGGACCTCAATCGAAGTGATCAGTCGCTAGCAACGAGTCTTTACAAGACTGTTCAGTAAGAAATATCTTCTATAGACTCCTTTTTTTACAGTTGCCACCAGGCGGTGCTCCAGTCTTTGACGGCATTTATGCTTTCTAGCACTGGTGACATAAGCAAGCTCGACAGACTCGCAAAGATGAAGCGATTAGAAGTTGCTTGGCTTGCAAGCAGCTGTACATGCTTGTAAACAGTAAAAAGGTCTACAGCGTGACCTTCAAGTCATACTGGCATTTCATTTCTATCTTGCACCAAAGGCTAATGTGTGTTTTTATATATAAAAAATGAAAGACGTTTACAATTCCCTGTAATGCCATATTAGAGTGCAGCTCTTGAGGAGAAGGAAAGGGTATGGAGAGGAGGGTATCCTCTCCTTCTCTGCACCCTCTTCTCCTTTCCCTCTTCTTCCCCCTCCTGCATCTTCCTCCTCTCCCTCCATCCTCCTCCCTTCCTCCTCCTCCCCCTCCCTCCCTCCTTCCTTCCTTGCGACGTCACACGGGCTGCCATTTCTGATCCTAGTGACCCTCGTGAAGGTCGCTTGTGAAGGCCTCGTGAAGGTCACTGTGAAGGTTGTGACGTCATTGTGAAAAACGTCCCATAATGCAACGCGCGGTTACGGCGACGGCGACGCCACTCAAGCCGGAAACGGGCATCTAAGAACTGCGATTTAGAAGTAACTATTGAAAGGAGAATATTATATCCACGTGCTTAACTCTTTTTTATTTCCCAACTGCCGACACCGAGATTACAATGACCGTGTTCCGCGTTTCTCTTTTTTCCGCAGGTTTGCAACAGGCTGGTCACTCTGCAGCTCACACAAGGCGTAGAACTTTGCCTCCTCTGCGGTCCAGCACCGTCCTTAGCGGTACTCGAAGAGGAAGTAAGTCGGGCCACGTGCCAACTTAAAGGCCGACTACGATTCATTTGAGGGAAAAATCTTTAGTGTTATGCAGTGTTTGCATGTGAGGTGGAGAGTCCTTTCTACAGTTGATGCGAGGAGACGAGAATAATGATGGTGCATAGGTTGCCTCACAATTGCACTGGGGATTTCGAGCACCCTGTTAAACTCCATTTGCCCGACGCAGGCCAGTGCTTCGAGTCCAGATGTTATCCCAAATTTTAATTATCTGGCTTCTTATTATAAATTTTATCATTTGGCTCTCCGTATGCTGCGAGGGAAAGTAAGCATACTTGTTTTCTTCACAGAAAAATTATTAGATTCAATTAAATATGATAGTTCCCATGCAATTGTGCTCTTAGAAATAAAACAAAATTGCTCTTTCATCCAATTACTGTGTGATTCAAGTTGTTTTTTGCACCAGTGTTGCTTTAGTGAGGTCTTTCCTAAGCAAGTTTTTCAAAGCGAGAACTACCATTTTTCTCCGTTTTTTTTCTCTTTTCATATGTTTCTAGGTTCTGTTGAACGACTGGTCATATTATGCCCTCCCTATGCATTGCTTGAGAGGTCCTTTAGAGTACATAAATGAATAAAACAATAAAAATTTCGACCACTTTGCGTGGTTGCTGACATTGCATTTTTCTGTCGTTTTTGATCAGGTGTGCCGGTTTTGGAACGATGCCTTTGACTTGCTCAAGTCTGCCTCCAGCTTACACCCCCGCAACTTTCCTCTCTCTTCGTCTTCGGACAAGAAAGTGGTGGCCTTCCCTCCCCTCGACAAGAACATCCTCGGGTAAGGAGGACTGTCCGTAAAGATCCCTAGAGAGGGACGTCTTTGAGGGGAAACTTTTTTTACAGAGGGAATTTCCTTAGAGATAAGCTTCCCTAGAGGAGCACTTTTGCCAAAGAGAACTTCTCTGGGGAGGAACCTCCCCCAGAAAGGACTTTCATACGTAGACTATCTCTAAAGATTACTTCCCTAGAGTGATTTTCCTAGGAGTTATTTTCCTATCATGGGATGTTCCCTAGAGACTGTTTCCTAGAAAGGGAGTTTCCCCAGAGAGAACATCTCTAGAGAGGAACTCCCCCTAGGGGGACTTTCGTACATAGACTTTCCGTGGTGATTAACTCTCAAGGAGTAGCTTCGTTCAATTTACCCACACTGGTGCAGAAAAGTGCAGGGCGGTGTACTTCCGGTCGTATCTCGATACACATACCGGAAGTGCACTGCCTACCTTGTTCGGCACCGGTGCAGGAGGTGCAGGGAAATCGAAGGAAGCTACCGACTTTTCGAGAAAGAATTTTCCTAGCAAGGGACATTTCGTAGAGATTACATTTCCTACAGAGAGTTTTCCCAGAGAGAACTTTCATGCAGAGAGAATTTTCCGAGAAAATATACTCCCTAGAGGGGAGTATATTTTTCTTTTTTCTTCAGCGATAACTTCCCTAGAGAGGGACTTTCTCAGACAGAATTTCCCTAGCAAGGAAAAATTCTCGTTGCTCGAACGGTGGTCTGCGGCTGTTGTTTCAGGTTCTTGCTGATCAACACCAAGAGGCACAAGAGCCTGACGAGCGTTCATCCGCTGGAGGACGAGATAGCGAGGACGAAAGAGGGCAAGTGCATCAGCCTCCGGAGGCGTCAGGAGATGCTCAGGGTGCTATACAAGAGCGTCGTGGGACGCCATTTTCCCGCCTCTCCGCACCAGGAACAGCCTGCCGTTTCGGGTGAGCACAGTGTTGTATGCTGCACGCTGCAGTCAGCATGAACACCTCTCTAATGAAGAATGCTTTTTAATGGAAACGAAATTAGGTTTTGCGTTGCGGTGCAGTCGCCCTAGCCATCTTGTAATGCTGGGCATCAAGTCATGTAACGTGGCGTCACGTCATGCGATCCCGTCGTGCGACATAAGGTCGCACGACGGGATCGTGCGACCTTATGTTGCACGATCTGCCACATGAAGACACACTTCATGTGGCACGACTGTGCCACATGAAGTGGCTTCGCATGGTATTTAGACTCAAAGCCGCGACGACATGCCGCCCAGATTAGCGTATGTGTCGGTAATGCATTCTGTGTATGAAGCGTTCGAGTGGTAGAACAAAGGAACACTTCGTGATGTTTTGCATTCTAGTTATGTGGGTTCATATTGAACACCACATGGTGCCACCTATGCTAGTGCCCCACATAAGCACATTCCACTGCAGTTTAAAATGACAGCTTTTAGGTTGCGAGAGAAAAGTGGGGAAAAACTGGTCGTTGCATGTTCGCGCCGACTCTATAGTGTCTGTGCATGTTGTGGCCAACTGCTCTCCGATTACTTTTATATAGTTCTTTTCTCCATCTCGTATTCACATTAAACTGCAAGGCGACTGGAATGCAGATTCGGAAAGAGATTGCGAGCAGCTTCAAAGATAAAGCGTGTGTGAAGAATGCGGGAAAGTCTAAATAACATTCATAGTGGCGATAGAAAAGTCGGCTGGTCGTTTGAACAATTTTTTGGAGCAAATCACACTCGGTACATTTAGGTTGTTTGTTTGCAGCAAGTGCTTCGAGTGACGCGTCTTTTGTATCGACTCTAGTACTAGGGCCATTTTCGCCTCATTGCACTCCCTACACATTCTAGTTTGGAAACGCTTCTCAGTTAAATTTGCAACACTCGTCAGAAGTCCGTCGGTGTTCGAGCAAAGCTTGGCATGGAGAAAGGGGAAGCCGCAAGCACCGCACGTTACGAGTCTGCAGAAGCGAACAACAATCGGCGGTGTTTGCTTGCAGGTGGCGCGGACCATTCTGCGACGGAAGTCTACACGTGTGCCGAAACGCACAAGAGCTACGCCATCCGGACAGCCGACCACCAACTCTACCTCCTCTTTTCGCCGAGCATACCAACGTTTGCCATGAGGTAGGCCTACAAGCTGGCCCTTTCAAACACCGTCCCCGCGAACACAGCCCAACAACGCTTTCATGTTTTACTCTCGAGCTACGCTGACTAGAATGCGTCTCAAACTGGTGCGTTTAGTGCCTCCCCAAACGTGGTCCCTCGATTTCCACCCGACGACGTCAAAGAAGCGCCTTGCCGCCATCCGCTGCGATTCTAGCGATGGCACGGCAGTGAAGGAGGATGCGGCAAATGCCCGTTCTGCAGCAGCTCGTTCTGCAGCCAGATGGTAGACGGAAATTAAAGCGGACATCCGCTTGCTCTTCTCCAGCTGCCAGGACTGTGACATCCGATGGCGTCACATAATTTTTTGGCGCTTCGGAACCACTTTTGACGCGGGGAGGGGTGCAGTGTGGTAAACACACCAGCCGAAGACGCATTTCTATGTTTTACTCTAGCACAAACACTTCAGTGTTCCAGCTTAAATGAGAGAACGAAGGTTTTCCCGTTTAAATCTTATGCTCTCTCTTACCTTCCCCTAAGAAATGAGTCTTGACATTTCCGCACCAAAATACAGCCGTATTAAATTGTTCCACATATTTTAATATTGATCAATCGAGTTATATTTACACCTCGTTGTGTGCGTGATAATAAAGGGCAACTCCGGTAGAAAAAGAAACCAAAATAAATGACTGGCATCGCTTTGGTGGCTTACAGTATGATCACAGCCGAAATATTACGTAAAAGCTGAATACTCCACTGAAGCAGATTTTAAAGATATGACTGCTCTTAGGAGGCAGCAAGCGGGTTAGCTTTTAATCAATGAACACAGGCGCAGCACTCTCGTGATGTCATGTCACGTCACAGTGGAGCTGCAGTTGATTGGTTGTACCGCATACCGCAGCACTCTTGCGACAACACATTGCGGCCGTACGGCTGATGATCAGTGTTGCCATCCCTTCAGCGGATAGTTACGGTTTTGCCGTAGATACCCAAAACTAAACTTTGAGCCTGCAATATTTATAAAACTACACACAGGATCGAAAAAAAAAAAGTATACCTTGCAATTAAGAGACATGCTTTAGCTGAAAACAGTCATAATCCCAAATTAAAAAAATATTGAATGGAGTTGCCCTTTAAAGGGACACTGACAAGGTATTTATGCTCGCCAAGGTTTTTATTTGTATATGACATGAAAACCAAGCTACCCAGGAAACAGCTTGCGGCAGGAATTCATTTTCTTTCCGCCCAAAAACTGGCGATCGAGAACTGGCCGGTTTGATTCGCGCTCACTCTCTTCCCTATCGTCACGTGCCGTTGTCTATGGTTTAGACACAACTACCAAATAGTATAATTAAACTTGTGGGTCATCGAAAGCACACACACAATAAAAATAGAAATGTACCCATTTCTTGTGGCCTCTAAAAGGCTGCAAATACGCTGTTTGGAATAAAAATAAAGTTGCTCAGCCATGCGACTTCTGCCAACTCTCTCCTCCTCTATATTTCTTCCACCCCAGTCCAGTTTCGGTTCCACGCAGTTTCGTTTTTTTACTTTATTAAAAATATATGTGACACTGTAGCAAGATATTGATTGGTGCAGTCTTCTGACACCATAATAAATCACCTGGCAAAAGATAAAAAAAAATTAATTTTGGGGGTGTCCCTTAAAGTATTTGCCATTTTTTCATGTCGAGGATGAAATGTTGTTTGAAAGGTGTTTATTGCGTCATTTCTTCATGCTTTTGCTACGATAGTCTAATTAGATTTCCCACACTATTTTCCAAATATAATAGAAATAAAGAAACCACACCTGCTCATACTGAGGGGGTTCCAGTGACATCTTAACTGTTGCATACTAATTGGATCTTATTTGTTCCACTAATAGACTGATTTTTGTGAGTCTGTTCATTAAAATACTCATCTTCGTAACCCATTTCCCTTTTCTGCTTCAAACTTTGCAGGTCGGTCAGCCACAAAACTCTCAAGGTCTTGACGACAAACAAAATGTGTGTCCTCTGATGGAGCCAGCCAAGCGGCCAGGGTCCTCGAGAGCCAATCTAGTCTGTGATATTTATGACTGCGTCCTGCGGCGATGCACACTTTGAATGTGTCTACTTACCTCATACAAGAGCTTAGTTAATATATTGCCATCTGTTTTGGAAGACATCCCCCATCCATATGTTTCTGTACCTTAAAAAAAAATATTATTAGCGGTGCCCAGATTAGTTTTGTTGGAAGCGATCTCTATCCAGGGTTGTGTGCTAAAAAGCCACTTATTTTACGCAAAGATATTTTCGCGCAAGACACGCGTTAGAGCACACGCACATGCTACATTATCTTCACATAGTACTTGTTTGTTTCAACCAGAGTTGTGCGAATAGTGACTTTTCAGTTCAAAGCGAATAGTTCTTTCGTACGATTAATCTCGAATCGAATCGAGTAATTTCAAAGCGAAGCGAATGGCTTGCGGCCGTCAATACAGTCATGATAGAGAAACCTTGGAGACTAGGGAAAAAAAAAGAAAAAAAGGACAAACACGACAGGGTCTGGAGGGTTCTCTACCACAATTACCAGCTTACCCTCACCAGTAACTGTTATATCAATAAAGTCACATCTCATTATTATGGACGCTTCCGTTTCCCAGAGAAATCGTCCATAATGTAAATCATTCATTTTATTTTCAGTCTGAATTAAGGCTGTGCTTTGGAGCATTTGAAATTTCGAAATCCTTGGAAAATATTCGAAGCTGCCGAATAGCCCCATTCGATTATACTTTCGGATTGAACATGGCGTTATTGCTTCGATATTATAAAGTTCCGAATATTCGCACAACCCTAGTTTCAACCGAAATCACAGGCCTTGGATGAAGGATAAGAATCTGTTGTTTGATGTGTCATGTTGTAATTTATGCCATACCCATGTTCACAGACAGTATGAGACTCCTCCCTGCCGTTCTAATCCCGTCATTTACCATAGATGTAGTTGGGTTGCTGTACTGTATATGCCAAAATATCTGAAGGTTAGCTTAGTTTTTTTAAACAATCTGTTGCAAGAACGTGTGGACGATGTTGGTAGATTGAGGTACTTCAGTCAAAGAGCTTTCATCAACCAAATGAGTATTTTATTTCTTAATTTCTACTGGCTCTTTATCTTGATCTAGCAGTCTTTCGGAGCAAAGGTTTTCATCCCATTGAAGACAGCTTCTGCTGCATTAAGCAGTTGTCTCCTCTTAAAACAAATGTCACCAAAAAACTCTCAAATCAATGGTACTCAAAGTTTTGCCATCTTGTAGCTTGCAGCAGTTATAAACTGCCTGGTGATGACTACTGCCATCACCAGGCAGGTAAGCTGTCTATTTTAAATTGCCATTGCCAGGCAGGTAAGCTGTCTCTTTTAAATTGCAGTAGACTCAATGAAGATAAAAAAACAAAACAAAAGAAAACTTTCTAAATACTTTACAAAGCTGGTCTCACAATGTTTCCATGTAAAAGCGAGGAATTTTCGTGGAAATTCTTATGTTTGGGAAAATATTTTGCATTTGTTGAGGGCATTTTTAGCATGTGCATTAGACCTGTGATCCCCATGCCTCCAATGAAAGACAAGAGAGAAACATTGATGTTACATGGGTGCTAATGTGTCAACATGAATCGGGAGGTTTTTTGCTCCTTTATGCAAAGTTTTAGCTATATAATATTGATATGTGTCGAGTGTTTTCTTTGTCCTGAAGGCCTTAGGATGTGGTCACAATTGAAGAAATGACAAAATGTTTTGTCTGGCAGCATATTACGATTTCATTGATGTCATGATGCAAGCATGGGGAAGGTCTGTCAGGAAGTGAAGTTACTGCTACTGGAATCAATCCATTTGCTTTTATTACATATACACTACTACTCAGAGACATTGTATTGGCACAAAATGGAAGTTTGGCCAAATTGACAGGTTGTTTTAACTATTTGGCAAAACTTATTTTACAAGCTGCTGTTGCATTTAAGTGTGCCTGCAGTACTGACTAATTTGGATGGTCACCGCTGAGCTGTTCTGTAGAAATCTTTTTTCCGTACTAAACAAACTTTTCAATATTTTTTTTTTTTTTTTGCCTGCAACACCACATTTGCGTCCTTCCACCAAACCCATGTGCCTAGCAACTAAAAAAAGTTTGAGATTATGTCGAAATGGGACATAAAAAACAACTGAAGGGTACAATTTGATGTCATTGTTGTGCAAGTATATCTGGACCCTGTTGTTCCCACATATTTAATCTCATTGTACTAGTCATTTCATGAGACAAGTGAATTAAAATCTAAGTGAAAGCGTCGACTTTCATGCTCTACCAAATCTTCTCTCCTTCTTCCATGTTGACGTTTGCCGAGCCAATAGTCGCTCGGTACTTTTACGAGTACACCACCAAAAACGGTACATCTTTACCTTGAAAGCACAAAACGACATGTATTGCTCTCGACTAAGTTTGTATCACCCAAGCACATGTAATCGGCAAGTGGTGTCATACTGATGTACACTTTGACGGTTATGAATGTCAACGATTCATTCCAAGCTCTATTTAACAAAAGCATGGAAATCGTTTTACGGCCCTTTAACGAAGCACACAATGGTCCATTAGAGGTGAGGAAAAATGATGTACCTAGTATGTGTAGGGGAATGACAATGTACACCCTCCTTCGTTCAGCTTGTTGAGCTTTTCCGATTGGACACGCTTCAACAGGCAAACTCTAGCACGATTGTCATTCACATTACTTTAAAATCTGCTCTATTTACAGTCAAAACACTAGAAGTAAAAAAAATAAAAAGTTGATAACGGCAAATAACATATATTCAAGAGTTCAATTTTACAAGATACAAGAAGTGCTACATCCCAAAATATATTAGAACATAATATTAGGATCAGAGTAAGTGGGTTTCTGAACCCGATATAGTTTCATCATTGGGGTCAATTGCACGCCCGACAGATTTCTCGCAATTTATTCGCACGCCCAAAATTTTCAAAACAAAATTATCGCAAATTATGTCCTCGACCATTGATTCTCAAACTGGGTTCCTAGGCCCCCAGTGGTTTGTTAGAATACCCTCGTGCATTCTCCCCGAATTTCCTTGGCCGCCCCAGCCTCCAAACAAAGTGCTTTCTCATTTTACACACTATTTCAGAAAATCCGAGGCAGCCATTGATGCATAACTATGAGGAAACATTTCTTAGTACATGCATTATCCTTTACAAGGTCTGTAGACTTCTGCGGTGCTTTATTGCATCAATCCTGGGACAGGGAGGGATTTCTAGATATGAAGGAGTTACTCGAGATCAAAAAGTGTACTGCATCAATTCCCAAACTTGAGAATTCTAAAAATAAACAGATTTGCCCTGACAAATGTTTGTGTCTAGAATAATACACCCCCGGTATTTTACGGTAGTCAATAAAAATTTGTCTATTCCCTTTATTGTCGAGTGGGCACCTCTGATGGACTTCAATGCCATAGGTGCTTGCCTCAGACCAAACCCGATTCGAAGAGGCAGCAAAAACCTAGAAGCAAGGGCATGGCAAATTCTTACTGGACAGAAAAAATAGCGGATCACCACGCTTTACAGGTGCGGTGCTCAAACAGTTACCGGTGACCCTACCAGCTCAGATTCAATGGTTCCCTTTTCATTCAGATTTCCCCTTTTTCTTTTTTTTAGTGGCAATTATTTTGTTAATTGATATTTTATTGACAGATTGTCTCGTCGACATTTCACCGACGTACCCTGCAACCGAACTCAACCATCCTGTTTTCGAGACAAACTTTGCGTCTTGCCTGGCTTACAGGGCAGAAAGAGAGGAGGGGGACAGACACTTAAGAAAACACGCCTCAGTGAATCATGTGCTAGCCTTTAGTGGCTTCCGGATTTGATTGCGCACTTACCGTAATATCCCGTGTCATTGCCCACCCCCCCTGCCGCCTGAAATTCATAAAAAAAGAAGTGGGGTGGGCCACGTCTCAATAAGCAAGTGCAAAAAAAAAAAAAAAAAAAAAAAGTTGCTTATTTTTTTTGTTTATATCTAGCGCGGCTGCACAAGAGATACATTGAACTCAAAATAGTTTCATTGTTTTATGCAAAAAATGCTCATGAAAGAATGTTTTACTATCTCAAAGTCCTTTGCTTGCACATGTGCAATGAACACCGTCGATTTGCATACAGTGCAACTGTTTGTTCTGTGAAAGCACATTTCTAACACTGCCATGTTCTCTTTGTCAGTAAAAAAAATAAATAAAGAGTCAACAAGGAAATAGAAAAACCAACCTTCTTATGCCCATGTCCCACTAAAGCGACAGACAGACACAAAAGACAGTGACAAGCCTCAAACCTATGCAGCATGCTCGCGATGGTACCTTTGGCAGGCGTTTCGTCGTTCGGTGCTCGTGAAGTAAGCACGAGCGATTGCAAGCCTGCCAAAGATACCCTCGCGTGCATGATGCTTGCGTTTCAGTATAGCATCCTTTATTCTACAAAGCCTCTCAAATCTCGAAAGACTCTGGTTTGAGGGTTGTCTTTGTCTTTTGTCTCTGTATGTCGCTCTAGTGGGACACGGGCATTAGAGTGTGCCTTGTACTTCGTCACGGACGTCCTCCAACCGCAAGGTCCACAGCCACGTCATTCGGGTAGGATAAATGTTCGCAGATCGCAGAGTCTGCATTGGGGTATTTTTTTTTTTTTTTAGAAATTAATATTTACCAAAAAAGTGGGATGGGCCATGACTCGGGATATTACGGTAGTAAAAAAATATATGTCATCGACGGAACATCTGTCTATGAAACGAGTTTCCACAAGATGCCAGTGTCGATGAAATGTACGTCCATGAAAGGTTGTCCACAAGATGGGTTTTACGAAACATGTTTCAACGAAACAATGCGGACCTTTTTTTTGTCTTCCTACATCACGAAATGAAGCACACAAGCTCGGACGTCTGTACATAGTTATTTATTTGCTTGGCAGGAGCGTGTGATTTTCCTAAAAAATGGGATGATGTCGTGATGCAAAAGCGAAAAACACTCCAAGGCCTTTTTTAATCGTCTGTGGGCTCGTGTCCGTCGCAGACGCCCGGAAATAAGTTACAGCGGTGGCCACTTCAGACGTGCACAAATGCAAACACGATTTGGAGACGACGAGTCTAAACCTCGAGAGTGGACGTGGCAAAGAGAGATGTGGAATCGAGGTTTGCGCAGAGAACAAAGTAACGTCGACAACAGGGTGTAGTACTTGGATGGAATTCGATGCGCAAGCGACGGCTCTAGTCTGCATCAATAAACGAAGCAACAAACGAACGGGACTTGCTTTTTCTTTTTACAACACCGTGTCCACTGTGATTTTCACTTCAATCCCGGGATCTTCGCACCAACCACGTTGGTCTAGCACCCAGCACGACTACGTAAAATCATACACTTTCAAAACGCTTCAAAAGTTTCACATTCACAAGCATCCCAAGCAAACGTGAAAACAACCCGGGGGAATTCAAAACTGCATCACTTTGCGGTAACTCGCACAAAACACAATTCGAAACCTTTTACTAACAACAAACTGAGATCGTTTTCTGTACAATATAATTCGCAACTGCCTCGGTAGAGAGCTGAAACAAGACGACTCTCAATTTTACACGCCAACCGAAGGTGAACAAAAAAATAAAAAGAATCAGGGAACCTTGAAACCAAAGACTGGTGCTTTAAAGGCAACTTGTGCGACAAGTTCTCCACACTGAAAACACGACAGAAAATAAAATACTAAAAACAGGTACTAACAATCCCATAATAGACACATGAAACTCTCCGTACCCGCACAAAAAGTAGCCGCCTTTGTACCACTACGAAAGGTACCACCTTACACAATTCCAAGTGCACCCCCCCACCCCCTACACAAGTTCCCAACAGACGAACCACGCTTCAAACGTTGCAAAACACTCTTCAAAACTGCACATTTGGAAAAATAACCAATGTACACGGAGGCCTTGCTCGGATCCCCCACCTTTGGCGTTTTCTAGGTCCATAACCACTTTACGGTACGTCGCCAGAAATGCAGAAATCGGCAGAAGCAGCGACCAGACGGTGAATCACTGCGCTACGGATGACGTTCCGAACGGGATTTAGCCGATCTCAAACTATTCCTAGATGGCTTTTCTTTGGCTGCACGGCTAATTTGAGAAGACTAGATGACGACGCAGCTAAAAAATAGCTGCATCTTTAAAAAAATGAACAAGTTGGCTCTTTCTAGGAGGTTTCTTTTGGCATGCTCAATCCGACGTTGGGGGCGGCACGAGGTCGTAGCTAGAATGTCAACCACGAAATTAAACGGTGCAGACAGATGCTCGCAAGCGGTGCTCGATAAGCTACAGTGTGTCTCAAAGACACCGATGGGGCCTCGGTCGGGCCACTAGACCTCGTTTTTACGCGCGCTGCGACTCGGCGGGCAGATACGTTTCGATTTGGCGGACAAAACGGCACCCAACTGTGTTGTTTAAGAAGATGTTGCTCGAGCAGAACATTCTCTGGCCAATTACCGTTGCAATTTGAGTTCGCAGGACGAGCGAGGGAAAGCGCCCACCGATTTTTAAATCTCATCCTCGACGTCGTGCGGCAGTCGCATTCCAAAGTGCTTAGATAACATTTCTTGCTCGTGTAATTTAAAAAAAAAAAAAAAAGAATACAGAAATTTACGGCAAATAACAGTCAGTGCAATGTACACAGACATAATTTTTTTTTGCTTTTAAAAGCAACTGTAGGTGTTAACTTTTATGCTAAGGATACCTGCTATGTTAACACACTTCTCTGTCGCATTAGACATTGAATCACTACTGAAACCGCAATTTTCGCACACCACCAAAGCCCCGGCGGTGCCTTCGAGACAACTCGTGCACCTGGAATGTTTAACCGACGTTGCCCTCGCAGTCGGGGCACTTGACTAGAACTGGTACGAGAAAGACGTCGTCGCGCTTGACGGCGCCTCTCGCAGCCCGACGATTGGCCAATCGGACGGTGCATTAATTTCAAACGTCTTGTCGGCGAGGCGCGCGACAGAACGAAAAGACGCGGTTGCCCCGATTGCCAGGAATCCGCATTGCTGTGGCGGAATGGCGGCGCGCGGTTTCGAAAGAGCTGCGGAATGTCTCTCTGCGACTCAATGTCTCTTGGGGTGGATCTGTACAACTGTAACAGCATAGATTCTCTAAAGCCTCTGACAGCTCAAAAAATGCGGGGCATGACCTATCACTGGAAATCAGTTTTTCGGATAAATCCGAAAAACGCTTCCCAGTAAATTTCTCGGCAATTCAAATTTATTCAGAAAACATGAAATTTCGAGGTTGCGACGACGCAATACAAAGCTAAGGAAACGACGTTTTACAGATAAGCTTCACGAGAGCAAAGGTCGGCGGTCCCGAGGAGATGCTACTTGACTTTCCCTCGAAATCTCAAACTACTGACAAAAGGGGTTTGCCCTTTAGCTCGTCGGGGTTCTTTTGGGACAATGGGGCACGGTACCCAGAGTTTATTTATATTACTCGAAATGGAGAGCATGTTGGTAAGGGTAATATAAATACAGTCGACTCTCATTAATTGAAACTCTCTTAATTCAAACTTGCAGATAATTCAAACTAACATGCAGGTCCCACCCTATGCGTCTCTATGGGAGAAAACTTCCCACAATTCAAACAAATTTTCGGCCCCCCCCCCCCCCAGAGTTTGAATTAACGAGATTCGACTGTAATAGGAACATAAAACAGAAAGACGGTCTTGTCTGTTCTTGTGTTTTATGTTCTTCCCAATACTAAAATTATTTTGTTTTCAAATTTTTAAAAATTGGGAATGCAGTAAAATGCACTTAGAATTTCAGAGAATTGGGAATTGAACAAGAATAAACTTCGATAAACCCTGAATTTTCAACGAAAAATACCGTAATATCTCGAAAGATGCCCCACACCCCCGAAAGATAGCCTGGCCCCCACTTTTGGTACAATATGCTATATTTATTTTTCAGAAACACCGAGAGAGAGTCCACTTCCAGTAATTGCAGGGCTCTGGCCAATGGTGACCTCAGCAGAAATGGTGTTACTTAGCCAAGATAACATTGCTTGACTGGGAAGGACAGTCATCTTTGGTTCATCGCCCCTCCTTGCAATCACAAGTTTCGCAGGTTACGAAATCTAAAACTGGCATTTTTGCACCCTTTTTTTTTTTTATTGCACACCGAAAGTTAGCTTACTCCTTATTTTCGCCCGATTTGCTTTCGATTTTAGGTGGGCCGTCTCCCGGGACGTTACGGCAACCTCCGAAACATGATATGAAGAAAGCAAAACACAGGCAGGGGACAGAGACAGCATGTACATGTTTGTCTCTGTACCCCGTTTGTGCTGTGCTTTCTTCGTATTGAGTATTTAACCCAACACGCTCGTCAAACTCGTCTGAAACATACCCTCCGGATTTCAAGCAAAACAAACTCCGAAAACAGAATCCTACTCGTCGTGTTCGCACTTCCTGCACCGCGATTGGTTTGTCGGCGTTCTTGTTCGCAAACGCCGCAATCTCATTGATCATAGGGTGATGATTAGATGTGGGGACGTGCTGTGCCCCGCGTTTCTTAAGCTGTCGGAGACCGCAGCCATGGCAACAAATTCTGGGAGCAGAAACGAAGACTCCTCGTAGTCGAGGCAACCGCCCTTACGTTTTGCCGCACCTCGATGACCAGGACAGGCCGTCAAACGCTGCCCTGCGGACGCCAACGGCTCGAGCTGCCACACTGCTAACAGACAGTCTCTCGAAACGACGAATAAGCTAACACTTCTAACCCAGAAACGCTACCGTAAACCGGTCTTAAGGGCGGAAATAGTCTCTCGTTGCTACTGGGATTGAACCCGTCATCTGATTGCGCGACACCGACGGTGCGTCCACCGCCAAAATACGACAACTCGCGTGGCTGCGCTCCGTTTTACGGATTACAGGCAATGCAGTCAGAAGCATGAAGTAGCCTTTAGATATGTGGGCAGTGGTAATTTAGAAAAGCACCGAACGGGATTTTCGGTTTTCACTCAATTAACGACGATGCCCCGTAATGTTCCCGAAGGTGCCGATGAAATCTCGAATATGCTTGAGAGCAACTTCGCCACTACCAGTGAAACAGGCTTAGGCTTATGAGCAGGGGCGGACTTGCAAACAGTCATCACCAACTAGCCCAACAACAAGTACTTTTGCCAATAGGCAGCTGCCCAGGGCAGCAAACTTTTGCGGGCGGCCAATTTGTGGTCGTCCCCAAATTATTTGCCTCCTTTTCTTAAATCTAGCTCCAAATTTAGCTACTATAGGAATTCTAGCTCCAAATGTAGCTACTTCTAAAAATGTGTACTCTAAACTTAGCTACTTCCCTGCAATACCCCCCCCCCCACTAACCCCCTTTCCCATGGTCACTGACCATGGGAAGCGGGGGTTGGGGGGGGGGCGGGGGGGGGGGGGGGGGGGGCGGGGCCAGTACTGAGGTTGCTTAGGGCAGCAAAATGCCAAGTCTGCCTCATGCTACGAGCAATGTACGTACTGGTGGCAGTATAATTAACACTGCCTGCCAATGAACCTAAAATTGTGAAGACGAAAATTTCGAGTATAAATTCTGTTCAACGCAGAGGCACGAGGTTTTGAAAAGTCCTTGGGGAACGAGCTATAATGAAACGCTAGGAAAATGAAAAAGATTTCTTGATGCTTGATTTTCTAGAAAAAATCTTCAAAATCGTCATTTAATTTTTATGGCGAAAGTTCTTCAGGTGTACGAATAAAAGACAGAAAGAAACAAACATTTTGTCTATCGTGTTTGAGGTTTTTCGGGGAATTGCTTTACGAGAAAAAAAGCCGTCTAAAAGCTCTCGAAAAAAAAAACATTTTCCGAGTCTCCCTATGGCGGCAAAAAATGACGATTTAAGTAAGCATCAAATTGCCTTCAGCATTTCTTTACAAACACCCAGACAGAAAACAGCAAGCCACCAATAAGCTTACGGCACCGCAAGAAGTCACCGAGGTAAAAAAAATAGCCGTCCCAAAGGTTGTCATTAATACTATAAAGACTACAAGAACAAAACCTGCCTCTAAATTAAAAAAAAAAAAATAAAGCAAGGACTAGCATATATTCGGCAGCTAAAAGAATTAACATGAAACCCAAGGGGAGGGTATTGGCATAACCCACCAAGTATCAATATCTGGCCCCGATGCCATTGTGGCATAAGCTTGCGTGCGAGATGTTCTGTGCTCAATGTGGCATGTAAAAGACACAATTAAGAACTATGGATGGGAATCAGAAAGAAGTGGTAACAACACTGTCTTACGTCCCTTACCGCTATACAATTTAGCAAAGGCCTACTGCGTTAACTTGCCAGGTACCTTCACACAAATATTTAGGCAACAAGAAATGTCTCGTGTTTTTTCTCTAATCTCCCTAGCCTTGGGGTTTTTCCCCTAGCTTCCCAGTCTCGGAGGTTTTCTATGTATGTTCCAATAAACATTTTTTGCATTACACGACTAAAGGTGTAGAGAAAGTTTAGTTATAAGGTCGTGATATATATTTGGCAGGACGTGCAGTCCATCTTCACGTGAGCCAAACTTTGGGTCATTGCCTTGAAACATGCCTCGAAGAAACAGCTTGAATAAAAAATGCTGCTTCCAAGGTTACGTGCCAGGCTTCACATTCATTACTTAGTTGGCACAAAACCAAACATTAGATACTAGTGCAAATAAGCTAGTAGCCTTCACTGTACTGCACATAGTATCAGAAATAAAGAATGGTTAAAATGGCCTTTCCTTTGCGTCAAGGAGGTGGCAGCCTTTATGGCTTTGCAGCTGAAACAACTCGCCTCCTAGAAAGAATGTGGTAGACCATAGCAATCCACACAGTTTATAAAATTAACCTCACTCGAGTGATCCCTCTTCTCATCAGAAAAGCTAGCGGCCTTTAAGGCACTCTTGTCAAAATGACTTGTCACTCACCAAAAAGGTGCTTGGTAGCATTCCCTTTCATTGCATTACACATACCGTAGTTGGTAAAATGAAAGTAGTTCAAGTAAGCTTTTTTTTTCACCCGAAGCTAGCTGGTACGCTTACAGCATTATACAACCAAAATGACTTTCTTCTCCAAAATAAACGTAGCAGTCTTCACTGGGTTGCACACTGTCCATAGAACAGAGCGTAGCACAAAAGACAGTCCACCTTTGAAGGATGGATTATTACATATCCCCACACAATAACTCCCGTATTCGCTTGCACAAATGCTTTTGCGTAACTACTACTCTTTCCCAGAACCATTACATAATGAAACTGCCTACTTTCCCATATATTTACTTCAGACAATGTACTTGAATCAATTGAATGCCTTTTTGATGTGTAACTTTTCTTTTGGGCTTTTTGGTTCGCTGTATTATATCGGGTGTTTTATAACGTTTTGTCTAACTTTTCGTATTTGTTTCCTGCACATTTCTTTACACTTTCCAGCTGGACTCCTTCCCTTTTTGTGTTGCAATGTATAATCTCTGGTAATCTAGCTCCATATAAACATTACATCCACTCCTGCTGGGGCAAAAATATTGGCCTGCAGTGTACTGTAAATAAAAAAAGCAAAAAAGAAGCTGCAATGAACATAGCCCACCAAATGAAGCACAATCAAAAATATCTCGGCCCTCCCACAAGAAAGTAGACAGCATTCATCACTGCATTGCACGTAGTACGCAAAACAGAGCGCAGTTGGAACAACGCGGCTCGGACCCGACGCCCGTTCCGCAAAGCCATAGCAGCGCAATTATTGCCCCTGAAAATACAGCTTACTAGACAAGTAAAAAAAAAAAGGAAGAAAGGTTGCGGTCGCTTCAGTGCCAGAAGCGCTACAACCCCCGGAAGGGAGCCATGGAGATTGTAGGGCTCCGCTGGGGGGATGGTCAGGTTGTGCTAGCAGTTTCCAGGCACGCAATGCAGAAATCCCCAGGAAGACAGCACTTGTGGAAACAATGCCCTTTGTAGTAAAAAAAAAAAAGAAAAGAAAAAAGGACACAAAGAAAGAGGCTTTAATGAGTTCATGAACATGCAAAGAAGGCAGTCGCAGACTAAGCACACTTTGCTCTGCTTTGTGGGCTGTCGTCTAATTTCACAGCGCTTATGCGTAGAATAAACCAATATCGTCACAAACACTTCCATTATAAGTTGCAGCATCGGGTAGACTCGTTAAACGGGAGTTTGTTGTCGACGTCATAAAAACATGTTGAACAAACAGAAAATGGGCCAGGATTTCATTGGACTTAGTTTAATGGGCATAATCGTTTCAGAGGCATTTGCTTAAAAGGAGTTCGACTGCATTACCGATAGACACACTAACAATAGTTGTTGCAAACGCAAGGAGAAAATACCGAATTTCGAGCGGGAGTTGGAATGTGCAAAATACGGGTTCACTTATGAGAGACTACTTTGATCGTGGACCCACTTCACCAAACTTCAGAGTTCAAAGCGCGCTACGCTCCAAAACTGCGGCAACGTTTTGAATGGGACTCTTGGCGAGCGGGTCTAAGTGAACGAGGAGAGTGAGCCGTGGGACTCACCACAGTGGAACGCCACCACGGGATGGGCACCCTTTGTGGCACCCAACATTTGTGCACAGTGCGCACAAGTGGAGAGGAGAGGCACACTCCTCCCCCAGTGACTTTCGGGCTCCTCCACAAAGAGGCTCTGCATCTGCAAGGACGACGTCCCGCCCTTTCACATTTCCGGCACACTCTAACAGAAACACCTGGTGCTTCTGATATCCAAGTGTCAGATATCCAATTATCCCGAGGAGAAGCTTACTGTTTGGGAGAATCCTCTCGCAGCAGTCTAACCCTTTGACAAATTTAGGAGACAATTTCTCCCTTAGTGAAAGGGAGTCCATAGGGAGTTTATGCAGGAACTATATTTCCCCCTCTCTTTCCTTCTCAAAGGGTGAAAAGGGATAGATATGTTTTATGAGAATACTATTTCTCCCCAATAAAGAAAGGGTTTCTACGAGGAGCAATTCTCTCACAGGAAACTTCTATTATAGTAAAAAAAAAAAAAATTCATAGTCATGTGCGAATAGTGAATTTTGAGTTCGAAGCAAATAGTGATTTTGGCCAAATATTTTTGAATAAAATACTGAATAGTTTCTCCTTGTTTTTGACTACTGCATCGTGCATGCTTAATTTAAACGAAAACCCAGATGAACTCGTGAAGATTGCTCTCAAGCTTCCACTTGTCCATTTCTAAGCTAATTTTAATCTAACTATATTTATGGACTGTAGCCTTAGAAAGTTCAATCCCTACAATGGTACAGCAAGTAAATGATGCATTCGACATAAAATTAAACCTTAAGAGATGCCCAGCTATACCTAATCAAGATTTATAAATCTTCCTGCTATACACTCCGTGCGACGCGACTGGCGCGCCGCCGCGCGGCCGGTATTGAAGGTAGGCAGTGAGCACCCCAGAGAAAACGAAACCGAAACCACGCCGCGTAAGTTGGTACGCGTTGAAGTCGGAGTGGTGCTGTTGCGCTGGGTTCACAGCGTGAAGTGCTGCCTGTGCTGAGTCATTAAGTGCTTCAATAGTTATGCGTCGTATCTCGTGGAGACAAAGTTTCACAGTTTTTCACCTCGCCGATGTTTTGTGGGACAGCGAAAACGATGGAGCCATGCCGTACGACGCAAGAAATTTGGTGTCCCGATCATGTCTGCCACTGTGTCGGCACGGCTGACATATTCTACACTGCCGCTTTGCGCTTGTTTTCGTACCAGTAACGCCTACATGTGTCAGCGCTGATGGGACGAACTGAAATGCCATCCCACACTTGCGGGTGTGCAGTGCCAATTTCGTTGGAGGAATGCCCTCCAAAGAAGTTTCGTCCCCATCGTACGTGTCAATGATATTTCCGGACAAATATGGCACACAATCTGTACTTCATGAAGAAAGATTTGAACGGTAAAAAAAGTGACAAATATAAATCTAAAGAAAACAACCATGAAACTCGGAGTCACTGGAGAATCGGCGTTTGAGTATGGAAGTGTATGTGGTGTGCTTTCTTTCTTGATCAGCCTCCTTTTGGATGTGAAAACACTGACACCCCGAGTTCTGTAGACAACAATTTTTTTTTTCTCGGCCTTAGGGCCACCTATCGCAAAGTGGTTCGAACTGGAAGTATCGTTCACTGGTCCCTTCCTACCTGTAAAGTGTGCACCTCCCACGATGAGTGGTATTTTCTGACAGCCTTTGACGGTCAAAGCCAGTTCCCATTTAGTTACGCCGCCCAAACTAAACCTCCACCTGGTTTCGCTATGCCAACTATTTTTGTTATAATAAGTGTTGTGCCAAGTGACGGTCATGTCAAAGTACCTGTGGGCCGAAAATCAGCACCTCGCACAACAGGTTATTACACAACAGCTGACCGCAAAAGCCCTTGGCGGCCAAACCGTGTGTTGGCCGACAACTTTGTTTTCTCGGCTTTGGAACCACCTTTCGTAAAGTTGTTTCAATTAGAAGTACAGTCCACTAGTCCCTTCCTACCTCTAAAGTCTCCACCTCCCCCGACCAGTGGTATTCTCTTGACAGCCTTTTCATGGTCCAAACTGGTTCCCATTGAGTTACGCCGCCCAAACCAAATTTTCACCTGGTTTCCCTATGCCAATTTTTTTTTTTGTATAATAAGTGCTGTGTCATGTTACTGTCAAGTCCAACCACCTGTGTGCCCAAATCTGCACTTTGCGCAGCCCGCTATAACACAACATTTTGGGTCCAATATTGGATATACCGTACAGCTTTATTTCTTTATTCGTTAGAAACAACTTTCACACCTGCTGTCTTAATGAAACTTGGCACACTTCGTGCAGAAAATTAGTGGACATCTCACTCGCCTCCAATATCATCGTTCCAGCAGTCCTACGTTTACAGCGACGAGCGAAATAGATTTCCCACTCAAAGCAATTATGGTAGCGGCCGTCTTGCTTTTTGGAAAATTGCTCCAACTCCTTTTTTGGCTGCAACTAGAGAAATTCCCCCGAATAACGACTCAAACTCAATATATAAGAGGAGGAGAACAGCTAAATGCCCTTCTTAGGTCTGCCCCAGCATTCATGCGACGTCACCCTCAACGTATCGGCTCAAAAAGCAAAAGTTTCGTCCGTGCGCGCTTCCGCCGCCATAGCTTGGCATGCGAAAAGGCGACGCAGGCTGTTGAACGCGCCTCACGGTCAAACGCCAGCTCCTCCGCTAGCGACGCTGTGCGCGTTTTTCAAAGCGCCCCCTATAGTTCCCGCACGGAGTGTATATGCAAGCCTTCCTCCTTAAATCTAGAATTTGGAAAAAGAAAAAAAAAAAGACAATCGTAGATGATGAATGCAGATTGTCAGGACATCTCTACATAACACATACTCTTGCATATTAGCCACAGTTTAATTCTGAAAATTTTACTGTAGTGTAGACATCAACATTTACAAAGTTCCCGTTTATTTTTAAATGCACACATATGTGCACCATCCAGCTTAAGAAGTGTGCTTTTCTCCTAAGCACGTCCCAACTGCAATATTTGTACCTTTCTAAGTGATGACTGCAGTAAGTTAGCCCCTTTGAGCATACTTCTTAGCGAGCATGGGTGCACCCAGAAGCAGCAACACCCATGGAAGCGAGCTCCGCGGGTGTTGCTTCTCCGCAGTGCACCAGCGCTCGAGAAGAAGCGTGCTCAACAGGGCTAACCCACCGCGACCAACACTTCGAAAAGTATGAACATCGCACTTCATCTCGAAGCGAATATCAAATAGAGTAATATTTCAGGGGTGGAACTCATGAAATGTATTTGGGAGCAGCCACGGGAGCAGCTGAAACCGCTGTTTTGGAGCAGGTTGGGAGCAGCTAAAACTACATTCTGGAGCATGCTAGGAGCAGCCCAGATCAGTTTTCATTGCACTTCATTTTGTGTCTTAGACGAGCACGGGAGCAATTTCAATTCTGCTTAGCAGCACAGATGAACATGAGTGGTTAGGGACCTAGGTAAATGGGATAACAGTGCAACAGATGCGAAAACTTGAAACTTTGTGAGCCTTAATGAGAACCAAAAAGCAAGTACCATATGTTTCTGAAGATGGTGTTTTTGATATTCTCTGAGTGGCTTTCAGCTGCTCAAAATGCAAATCAGCACTGCTTATCGCACAACCCACACGTGCTCGACATAGTAATTATATGTGCGAACCTCTTGACGTGCGAAAGCAACGGACGTGCAGTTGCGAGGAGGAACAGGGAAACAAATTTCGAGTTTATCCTATTGTGCGACTCAATACCGAAGCAGCAGACTACAATTAACGGAGTTATCGTATTCAAAGCGATAAGCAGGAGCAGATCTACCACTCGCTTAAGAGCTGCTGGCCGGCAAGGTATCGGATCGGACCGCGTTTCAGTTCTATCAAATCACAATTTATCTTGCAGAAATGCGGTTCCAACTTTTAACGATGAAGTACTAAAAGGAATCTTCTGCTCATTTGTTTTCAACTGGCTGACGTACGCACCTCGGGCCGCAGAGCCCCAGGCAATCTGACGCTTAACGACTCGACCTCACCTCGGCCGACTTGCTTAACCGCTTACGGTTGAAGAATAACAATCCAGTCGCAGGTGTAGCACTTCGAATCCGATCCCCGAGTTTATTTTGCGCGCTTCCGACTGGGGATACACAGGGAGAATAAACAGAACAAAGGATTGCAAGGCCGGCGAAGCTAAACGCGCTAATCGTTGCCAATCGAGTCGGTAGAAACCGAAACCAAGACAAAATACTTTTTTTTTTGGCGCACGTTGTGCGATTTGGTGCATAATGGCGCAAGGTATTGGCTGTGGCGCAGTTTCCGCGAAATGGCGCAGGATGGCGCAGACAAATGCGTCTGGCGCGAAATGGCGCAAATGGCGCAGCCGTTCCACCCCTGTATTTGAAACTACTACTCGAAAATTCGAATACCGTATTTACTCGCAGAATGAACACACTTTTTTTTTCCGAAAAATCGATGGAAAGTTAGAAGGGGGGGGGGGGGGGGGGGGGGCGTTCATTACGCGAAGTAAAATTTTTGCGTCTGTATTTACTCACATAATTAACGGACCTTTTATCCTGAAAAGTTGAACTTCTTAGCTCTTTGCGCGCGGCGCCCGACCCCGTAACCAAACTAAGCTGTGCAAAAAAAAAAAAAAAAAAAAAAGACAAAAACTTCTCTTTTTTTTTCTCTTAGTTCCTTAAGTTTTTTTTTTTTTTTTTGCCGTCTTTCGCAAGCTGTTTTGTTTGCTTAGGCGTTGCCACGTTGTTTGGGCGAGGGCTCTCCGCAAATCTTTCTTATCTCCTCGCGCGCAGCGCGCGACCGCACGACCCCCGTAACCAAACAGGGCTGTGCAAAAAAAAAAAAAAAAAAAAAGATATTTTTTTTTTTTTCAGTTTTGTGGGTTGTATTACTGTAAAACCCTTAATGTTCGCGAGCCCTAAATTTTCGCGAATTTCACGAATTGAAAAATTCGCGAAATTTAAGGGCGCGCGAAAATTTCGGTCCTTAAGATTTTCAATGCAGGCGTCTGGAATTCGCCAAATTTCGTGGTCGCGATTATGTCATCTGTGACCGATTCGCGAAAAATAGGGGCCGCGAAAATAAAGGGTTTTACAGTATTTTTCTTTTTGCCGCCTTTCGCAAGCTGTTTCGTTTGCTCACAGGGCTTCTCCGCTTTTTCTTACCTCCTTGCGCGCGGCGCGCGAACCCCATAACCAAACTGCGCTGTGCAAAAAAAAAAAAAAAAAAAAAAAAAAAAAAAAGAAAGAAAAATAAAAGTTTTTTTTGTTTTTGTTTTCTCTTAGTTCCGTGTTTTTTTTTTTTGCCGCTTTCCGCAAGCTGTTTCGTTCGCCTTTAGAGCGCTTCTCCGCTTCTCTTTCTTACCTCCTTGCGCGCGGCGGCGCGCAAACCCAAAATCCAAACTGCGCTGTGCAAAAAAAAAAAAAAAAGAAAAAGCTCCTATGTATTTTTTTTCCTGCTTCCGTTGGATCCTTGCGAATTTTTTTAACGCCTTTTGAGGCGTTTTGTTCTCCCACGCTGCCCATGCATTCGCGACCTCGCTGCACCAGGATAGAAAATTGCCTTCATTTCCCAGGCGTGGGGGGAAAGGGTCAAAATTTTGACGTCCGAGTTGGAGGTGCGTTTATTAAGCGAGTGAAAAAAAAAGTCGAAATTTTGAGAGCCGACTTGGGGGGTACGTTCATTACGCGAGTGCGTTCATTGTGCGAGTAAATACTATTCGTACAACCCTAGAAAAGAGCATTCCGTAATGAAAAATTCTGTACATGGCAGCAAAAACGATTGCTTTAGAGAAAGCTAAAAAATGTACAATCCCATCTTCACAGAAGCTCTGCTACATGCACATTGGACAAGCTATAACCAAAAACAAAGATGTGGCACATGCAAAGCTTGCGTTAGCATCCCACACTAAATGGTAAGACTAATACAGACCCAATAGAGGCAGCTTTCATTGCACATCGACCCCTAAGCGTCGATGCAAGGCAAACAGGAAAGCATTGCAGTCATGCAGGAATGGGTGAACTAGTATGAATCCCTTTTTTCAGGGTCCACTTTTCCAAGTTTTAAACAAACCAACCACTGCTCTATTTCAAACAAACTTCTACTTATATTTCTTTTTAAAAAAAGTCGTTTTTAGCAAAGTTAAAAGCCACAAAGGCCAAAAAAAACAAAAAAAAAACAAGAAACAATTAAAAAGACAAAATGGAAAGGTGAGGAGAAGGAAACAAAAGCCTTAGAAGAGAAAAAGCAGAGACAAAAGACAAATCAAACAAAAGTGGAAAGTTATATAACTGTATAAACTGCAGCTATAGTAAAAACTAGAAAACGGTAGAGTTAGGGAAGATGCCCCCTGCACATACTTTTTTCTTTTAATATTTAGGTTAGGAGGTGGAAACTTCTGCAGTTAGGGGAGACTGGGTTCTTTTTTCATTTATTCACTCAGTTTTCTCATACTAGCTGCTCTAGTTGAGTATGGCATGCTAAGAAAACACTCGTTTTGTGCACACAATTTGCCGTATTAATTATTAAGATAGAGCAGTCTAAATAGCCAAGTTGGCTCCCCACGAGCTACAGAGCGTGAACATTTAGTGTAATCCAGTATACCGGTTTCTTTTGTTTCTCTAAAGATAAAAGAAAAAATGATTGTCTCGGTGTTTTTGAAGCTTCACCTTTAGTTTAATAATTTTTCTACAAAACTTAGTAGTCATACTCTTAAGTAAGGTTTTGTGTTTTCGGATAAATCCGAAAACATAAAAAAAAACACTCACCAGTAAATTTTTTGTCCATTCAGATTTATCCGAAAAACTCTGAATTTCGAGGTCACAACGACAAAATAAAATGCAAAAAGATGGTGCTTTACAAATGAATTTTATAAGAGGACGGGGTCAGCGGTCCTGAGAAGAGGCCACTTCAGCTTGCTTTGAAATGTTGAGCTACAGTCTAAGCTTGTTATAACAGACCTTGATTTTGACCATGATTTCGGTCTGTTATAAGAGGAGTATGTGGTGTGCAGATATGCAGTTGAGTCAATGGTACGTAGAGGAAAACCAACCGAACTTCACAAATCGGTATGTTATATCCAAATGTCTGTTGTGACCAGGTCTGTTGTAATGACCTTAGACTGTACCGACAAAAGGGTTTTGCCTTTTTTAGCTTGTCAAGTTTCTTTCAGGACCACGGGTCACGGCCCCGGACTTTATTTATTTTGTTTTTGAAATTTTAGGAATTGGGAACACCGTAAAATTAAGCTCGGAATTTCAAAGGACTGGGAATATAAGAAAACAAAAAAGAAAAGAACTCCGATGAACTCTAAATTGTTAGTGAAAGATAAAACTCTGACAAACACCCTCCGAATTTAACGATAAATAAAATCCGAAAACAAGGTCCTCTACTAATAGATAACAAGGTTGGCAGCACACTCTACTTATTCTCAGAAACTTCTGTGCAAGATATCATCTGTGACACAAGAACCGCCCCCGACCTTCAGTGTCCAACGTCTCCGTCGACCCACCTGAATGTTGGCAAGGTCTTCGAGGCCGGCGAGACCCTGCTTCTCGCGGCTCAGCAGGTCGGCCGCCTGAGGTGGCAACGTGACCAGACGCCGGGACCAGACGTAGCTCTCCAGCCGCGAGAGCATCCGGTGGCTCAGGGCCCTGAATTCATGAGCAGAGCGCGGACAATCAATCGAGATTGTGCCACACCTTCGAGAAGGGAACGTGGCATGGAAGATCGAGAAATTTCCATAAGGAGTGGGCTAACTTTCAATGCGTGATCAAGACATGTTAAAAAAAAGATGCAAATTTTAGGTCATTTATCTCTGCCAAACTCGTTACTGCGGTGAGTGGCAATGAAGCAAAGATGACTGTACTTCCCCAGCCGACAATGTTCGCTTATATCCCACCATAGTAACTAGCCACACTTAAACCGGCATCATCATTGATTCAAATAGTATGATTACCAGGAGCGGGCTACCTTTTGGTGTTTAAAAGAAAATAGCGAATCAAGCCAAAAATAGCGGGTGGGCTATCTTGGGATTTTACAGTAGACATCTCGAAAACCCAGGATAGAGACAAAAAGACTTTGATGTTGAAAGTTCATCAGCTTGCTTGCGTCTGCTATTCCTATCAAAAGAATAGTTTCTCTCTCCTTCCTTGGGCCTTCCAAGAACATTTTTTGCACAAACGTGGCTTGTCCCAATATTCCAAGACGTCATCTTAATTTCCCAAGGTTCCTCGTGATGGAAGAACATTAAACTAAAGGGGGCCATGAAGCAATTTTATTACTTTTGCTAAATACCGCTCCAAGTTAATCCTGAAGATTTGTGACCCACCAAACGTAAATTAGGTTTGCTTTTTATGTACTACTAGCAGCTGCACAACAGCAGCTTTGAAGAGATTGCGGGAAGTAAAATGCATTGAGTGTGTTTTAGCATTTTAGTAATAGTATTAGTCCCTTTTCAGGTGTATTCCTCTAGAAATTTTTGGGGGTTTTTGGATTTGTTTGAGAGGCAAAGACACACAGAATGCATTCTGTGTTTCTCAACTTTATGCAATGAACCAAAATAAGCTGCAAGTATTTTCTCATTAAATCACAATCTCCCCTGAAGTCACATGTGACCTCACATGCCTCATTTTAAGGGAAGGCTAAAGTTGTCTTCAGCATCCCCTAGAAGATTCTACCACCCCAAGGGTTTGCTCTTTCCAGGCTTACAAAATAAATCAACAAATTAAATGACTGACCAATAAATAAACAAACAAATCAACCAATCGAGCAATTACAAATAACAAACTCGTAGCTGCCACTGGTTGATCAATCAATTACAAATAACAAACTCGCAGCTGCTCCTGGTTGATGTACCAACCAATCAATCAATCAATCAATACCAAACTCATAGCAGCCACCGACTGATCAATCACAAACCCACAGCTGCTGCTGGCCAATAAATCTATCAGTCACAAATAAGGAACGCATAGCTGCTACTGGTTCATCAATCAATCAATATTATCAAACTCACAACTGCTGACCAATGAATGAATCAATCAATAAGTCAGAGACAGCAAACTCACAGCTGCTGCTGGTCAATCAGGGTGAGGAGCACGCTGGCAAAGAAGAACTCCGGACTCAGCGAGCCTCGGGGAAGGTCGAGGTCACGCAGTAGCGTCGTCGTCTGCTCGAAGCCCACCGACTCCAGCATGCGTCGCGCCACGCTCTCCACCGTGATTGTCGTCACTGGCGCCACCGGGGCGTCCGTCCCACTCCCCGCCAGCGTCCGCTCGCAGAACAGGCATGTCGGCAATCCGAAGGCACCGCCGCCGTGCTGCTTCTGCGCCAGTTCCACGGCCAGCCGCCACTCTTCCGACGAACCAGGCAGCAAACCTTCCGACGACAGAGACAAGATCGGGGTTCAGTCATCGGCAATCCAAGGCGGGTCCTCCTAGAGCCACTGAACAATTTATGCTTAGAGCAACAACAATTGCCTCGTGGGCGGCTCCATTTTTAGTGTGGAACATTCTTTGGCTAGGTGCTCGGCATTTCGTGAAGCCCAAAAGTAAAGCCTAGATAAAACCGACACCGATTGGTTGATGGGTAGGAGAGGAGTGAGGCGCTCGTTGCTGATTGGTTCTTTGAGAGGTCATGTGACCAGAGAGGTAGGCAAGGAGGAGCTCGACCCCCTGTGCGCACCAAAGGAGAGGAGCTTGAGAGTATGGAAGGCTCTGGAAGATCGCCAAGTTTATCAGCCCGACTAGCGGTAGTACAGTCGGACCCGTTTATAACTAACTCTGCCGGATGCAATAATTAGTTTGATATAGTGGGCAGTTCGTTATATCAAAACAACCTTTTGGTCTCCTGCAAAAAGTCTACAATCTGGAAAAGACTAACTGTAATGCGATTGGCGGCCTATAGATAGGACAATAGGCAACTTTTGTAAAACAGTCAATTCCGCGGGAACGTCCTCTGGATTGAAGCATCTGTACTTGCAGAGGGAGGTGGAGATCATTCATCTTCTTTCTGCTTAAGAAACGGTAAAATGTGCGCCGGTCTGGAACAAGCCCGAAATGTTTGGATATGCCTATGCTCTTCCGTCTGGGCTTAGAGTTGCATCCCACTAGAGAGACGCAATATCTCTTTCAAGATGCTGAAATCAAAAGAAAACTGTTGGACCGAGCACGAACATGTCATGCCTAATGCGGGCAGGAGTGCGGAACAAAAAAGAGCGGTGCTTACAGAAGCACTGCAACCCGAGAAGATCACTAGTCGAACAACAACGCACAGCGAGTGCCGCATGTGATTTAGCTTTCGTCACACCAGTGTAGACAAGTGGACTCGTGAATGATTGATTGATTGAGTTTTATCGGTGTAAAAGTGTCTAAGGCTATAGGGCACCAAAATCTGCTACTATTTCAAGAAATGGTTTTTAAAGAAGAGGGCTCTAGTGATCAGTAATGGGATAAAAGGATGGGCATGAATCTGTATGTACATAATGTAGATGAAAAATTTAAAAGTTGCAATAAAAGTCCAGTTCTTTCTAGATATATGAAAACATATGTATGATTTGTAAAAGGTTCAGTGGCGTACCAACTTGTTTTTGAGTGGGGGGGCAAACCAGACCCTCTCCCCCCCCCCCCCCCCCCCAAATCGAAAATTCGGCGCAACTTTTGTCCAACTTTTCTAAAGATTTGGCAATGATTCGGCAAAATTACAACGTTACCAGACTTAACATTGATATTTTGTTTTTTCTCACGAAAAAAATTTTGCTTCTTCTTCTTAAAATAAATACAACTTGTAGTGCCTATTGAAAGAGTTATGACTAAATAAGGTGATATTCTAGAAGATAATTGTATCGATGTCGCTTTTGTGTGTTCACTTGTAATTTTGGTGTATGCTTCCAGAAAGTGGCGTGACAACGAGGTTGGGTAGTAGCCGGCACAGTCACGAATCACACTACGAGAGCTTTGATTTTGAGGCTTCATCAGCGCACGCCTGCAAGTGTGTTTGCATTGTTAAAATAAAGGCAATCACTGCGTTCTTACTTTCTCTGGTAGTCGCCGTTTCGTGCGCGAAAACGGATGCAACGGTTGCTGAGCCTTCACCAGAAGAGATAACAATATTGTAAATATGCATGTTTTTCGATTTGAGTCACTTGACGTCAGCTTTGCATGAAAGTGCGCGTTCCATATTCGCAACGTGCCGTTTTTAACCTTTAAAATTCCGGTTTCTGGTGTTCGGACACACACGGACGTTTAGGAAGATGGGGAGAGTTAGGAATGGTCAGATGTGCAACGTCGACCATGATAGTTCTGTGTTTAACGAATATTTTTCATCAGTGTTTATTAACGAGTGCTTGGACTCCGTCCCCACTTTCCCTGAAGAGCTTTACGAGCGCATGCATCCTATTAACGTTAACTCCGCCGGTATTATAACATTGATTGATAAACTAAAACTTACTTCATCAGCTGGAACCGATAACATCAACTCTAAAATTTAAAAGAAACACCAGTGTTATTTCGAGTGAGTATTTAAAACTTATCTTTATTCAGTCCTTATCTCAAAGGTGCCTTCCATCTGACCAAAAGGTGGGAAGGGTAATTCCCAGTCTTTAAACAGGGCAGCCGCTCTTCCGCATCTAATTATCGCCCTAATTCATTGACTTCAATTTCTTGCAAACTACTTGAGCATATCCTCTACTCCAATATCATAAGACACCTATCATCCCATTTCTTTTCTTTAAACAGCAGCACGGTTTTCAAAAAGGTACACTCTCCGGCAATATGAAAGACCCACTGGGAGCGCGTGGCCGAGGCGGTGGCTGGCGGGGGCGCTGCGAGCCCTCCGGGCAATTCCATTCTGCTTCGAGGGGAGGACGCTCACTCGGGCTCAGATAAAGCGAAACGCGCTTATCAGTTTGTGCCGAGTGCCGAATGAGCGTCCTCCCCTCGAAGCAAAATGGAACTGCCCGGAACGCTCGCAGCGCCCCCACCAGCCACCGCCTCGGCCACGCGCTCCCAGTGGGTCTTTCATATCGCCGGAGACTGTACTTTCCTGCGAAACACAACTCTGCGACTTCATCCATGACTTGCACACTAACCTTGAACCTTGAAATGAAAAAACTGACGCAGTTTTTTTTTTTTTTTTTTTTCCAAAGCGTTTGGCCGTGTTTTTTATCAACGCCTTCTTTCTAAGCTATCATCTTTTTGCCTCGACCAAATAACCGTTTGCATAGATTCGTGACTTTCTTTTTTCCCGTGTACAGGTCACGTCCATGATGATCATGAATCTTCCTTAATAAATGTATCTCCTGGTGTTCCCCTGGGGTTCGTACTTGGGCCCTTACTCTTTTTAATATTTATTAATGACATCCCCATTGGGATTTCTTCAAAAAACCGCTTTTTCGCCGACGACTGCGTCATCCATAACAAAGTAACTTGTGTGCAAAATAATAACCAGCTTCAGGAAGATCTAGAGAAAATTAACAATTGGTGCAAAGAGTGGATTATGTCATTAAACAAGTATAAACGCAAACTAATCCACTTCACCAAGAAAAAAAAAAAACACTGTCATTTAATTACTTCTTGTACTCCGATCTGATTGAGACCGCTACTGTGTATAAATACCTTCGTGTAAGACTAACATCTGACCTTCCCTAAAATAACCACATTGAAGTCATTACTGCCGATTTATCTGGAACTCTTGGACTAAGCAGACGTAACTTAAAAAGGGCTCCACCCTTTGTTCGTAAGCTAACCTTGGACACGTACGTCAGACCAAAAATAGAATATGCTTCAACCATCTGGAATACCCATCGACTGTACCTCATCAATACCCTGTAGAGGCAGTTCAGAACAGAGCTGCTCGCTTCATTTCATCCACTTATGACTTTTTTTTCAGTGTCTCAGCGCTAAAAACTGAACTAACCATGTCCTCTTTGCAGCTTCGCAGAAAAGTCTCTCAGCTGTGCTTTATTCACAAAATCTACTACCACATTCCCGACCTCAAAACCACTTTGTTATTACCCCCCGACCGAACATCTTCTCGCCTCAACAACGTCTGCACCATCAAGCACATTTCTGACTCTACTAACGCTTTCAATTGGTCATTCCTTTCTCAAGCCATCAGCCACTGGAACAGTCCCCCATCCTCCATTGTCACCATCTTGGACCCTGCTGATTTCTCCTCTGCAGTAAAACTACACCTTTCTTGGCCCATGTGATGGTGTGCGGGGCTAGGCAGATAGGTGAAAACCCTTACGCAGAGCGCCTGCCGGGCCAGACTTGTACGTAGTTCAACTACTTTACTCAAGTTCCTGTAGTTTAACTACTTTTCTGGGTAGTTTAGTAACTTTTAATTACATTTATATTCTAGTAATTCATAGTTTACTTTAACTACTTTTCTGAGTGACTTCCACTCAAATTACAAATTACTTTCTAATTTTAGTGGTTGTTTTGCCTATCAACACAGAAAAGATGTCGGAAGGTCAGCTGATATTTGCAGAGGGGGAAGCATGCGGAGTAGAAAAGGGGGGGATGGGAAGGAAGAAAGTGATTTAGATAGTCCAAAAAACCCCAAAATTTTAACGAGGCCCCCCACTGCAACAACACTGCTACGAGGCGCGGGGAGCGAACAGACACGACGCAAGAGAGGTCGAGTAACTGTGGGATTAGCTCCGAATAGTGGCATTTCTTTGTATTCCGAAACTCAAGGAGACTTGACGCATTTGAAGAAAGGGCTTGTCCCCGCTTCTCTCCAATGTAGGAATTCTTGCCCACTACAGGAGGTGCGCACACTGCTCCTTTTACGGTGCAGGCGATAGAACCCCTAACAACGACGCTCACGCCGGATGGGCTGCTCGTGTATCACTCGAAGCATGTTAACCCACCCCCGCGCCTGCGTTCACGCCGCTTCGCGGTGACGGTGTGCGGCTGCTAATTACAAATCTATTAACCCACCTAGCCCCCCCACCCCCTGTACACGCCGCTTTGCGGCGTCCGGTCGGCAACCCAAGCCCCGCTGCCCCCCATGCACTTCCGTAAATAGAGCCGATACGATTTAGTTTAGCGATGTTTCGTCAACAACATTCGTTTTTTTAGTGTTAATGGTAAAAAAGAAATGTAAATATCGCCAAATGCCTCGACAAAACAAAACGTTCGAGAAAAAAAATAAAAAGAAGTAAGCCAACCCACACCATAAATAGAACCCGGGTCTGACACGTATGAGGCAGACATCTCACCACTAAGTTACGCTACCTCTTCGGAAACTCGCATTGCATCCGCTGCCTATGTTGACGGCGGCAGCGCCTATCTCCAAGCAAGCAAGCAAAACTTTATTTTGTGTAAGGGCCTACGTCCTGGTCTGGACGGCCCGTCCGGCCCATGTCTCGC